GTGATACTGAAGAGGGTTTTATAGCTGAGACTTAGAAGATACCAGAACAAAGCCCACTTGCAAGCAAGTGTTCATAATACTGATATAATTAGTAGGAGAAGAAATGTCACAAAAAGTTTCACAAAGCAAATGTCCTCCCTCAAACCACCAGCCAGGAACAAAAGCAACTATTTTGTAATCTAGTTTGCTCAAGCTCTGGCCTGCCTGCTGAGATGGGAGTAACTTCTCACAGAATCAGAGTGGTTTGGGTTGGAAGGGACCTTTAAGGTCATCTAGTCCAATCCTCCTGTAATGAGCAGGGACATCTTCCACTAGATCAGGTTGCTCAGAGCCCCGTCCAACCTGACCTTGAATGTTTCCAGGGATGGAGCGTGTACCACCTCTCTGGGCAACCTCTTCCAGTGTTTTGCCACCGTCATTGTAAAAAATTTCTTCCTTATATCTAGTCTGAACGCACCCTCTTTTAGTTTAAAGCCGTTATCCCTTGTCCTGTCACTATAGGTCCTATTAAAAAGTCTGTCCCCATCTTTCTTGTAAGACCCCTTTAAGTATTGAAAGGCTGCAATAAGGTCTCCCCAGAGCCTTCTCGTCTCTCCAGGCTAAAAGTTCTGTATGAAGAAATTATTAGAGACAGGCTTGAAATGGCCAGCTTCAAGGTATAGCAGATTGTGTTGATCATACATTCCTCCTGAGTCACCACTGACCCAATGATAACATTTAGGCTCCCTTGGAGTGTGATCGCGACCTTCTGAGCACAGCACCCAGGGCACATGGACACAAAGATTTCCACCAGAGGGGAGAATTAATCACCCTCCAGTTTGGGTTGTAGATGTCTCCGTGTGGCACGGTCTGAGGCGTGGACTGAGGAACGTGCTCCCTTCCCCAGGGGCTGATGGCTTGCAGTTTTAGGCCAGAAGGGGACATCGATATCCTCTGCTTCCTCTGGTGTGTGATGCAGCCACTCAGCTCAGATTGCTCTGGGGACTGTCTTAAGTAACTGTTCATTGTAACATGAGTTTACACATGTCTAGCTGACAAGTAAATACTTGCTTGTATATATCTAGTTAGGTGTCTGAATCTAGAGCGGAATCTCTCCCCTGAAATGTTTAGGTAATTAAGGGAAGATAAGATCTCCTAAGATTTTTCTTGCCCTGTTTTGTATGGATCGCACTTGTGATTGCAGGCTGGCTGAAGACCCTGCTTTCAGTTCAGCTGCTGAAATCGGTATCAGTGAAATAGGTGCCTTGAAGCAGGCCAGATAGCATCTCTCAAAAGTTGCTGCTCTGCTGTGTCCCCAGTGACTGTCCAAACAGCCTTCACTCAGGTGGCAGCGATGCCCTGGCTCCTTCAGCATCACCCTGGCCGTGCATCAGCAGCATCACTGCTCAGCAAGAAGTTTATGGGCTAATTATCTACTGGTGCAAACCCGAGCAGTTCCCTTCATCCAACGGGAGCTATGCTGAGGTCCACGTCACCTGCAGAAAACAGTCCTGACTCTTCAAAAACTTCCCTAGCATTTTAAGCAATAAATTCATTAGAATTTTTTGCATAATGGTATCCATTTTCAAGTTGCTGAGGCATGGTCTCCCATGTCTATGAGTTTTAGGCCAGAAGGGGCATTAATGTGCTCTGCTTCACCCTGGCATGTGGTGCAGGTTGTAGAGTAAGTGATTCGTAGCAAAGACCCGAGAAATATTTCTACTTGTTCAGCCAGGGCCCGCAGCGGTGTAGCAAGAAGAAAGTACCACTGGAATTACAGGCGCAAACTGCAGCTCCAGGGACCCGAGGCTGCTGCTGCTGAATTTGGCAACATGCCCTGCGTAGATAATTCTGCTGTTTTAATAAAAACCGGTAACATCAGTAGGTGCAGTCGATGTTTCATAGCTGTGTAAGGAACAACGGAAAGACAAGAGAGAATGGAGAGCAAATAACAGATGGTAAGGAAGTTGAAATGCTTTACGGTGCTTATTGCAGTCTTAAATGAAAAGTATAATAGTAATAGATATTTATTACAATCATAGCTAACGGAGATAGGAAGCCTTCGTAAGGGAGAATCCAAGAGAAAAAGGCTGCTGATTGCCTAAATCTCTTGAATATTCTTGAATCAGCGAGGCTAAATGAAATTCACCCTTGACTATAGTGCTTAAAAGAGCCAGTGCAAAAAGCCCTTGGTTTATCAAAGACTCTCCTGACTTCTCGAGGTGTTGCGATGGTACGTACTCTTCAAATCCCCTGGTGAAAAACACTGCCATTATATGTACCCAGAAAGCCATCAGCGACAAGCCCGAGTCGCGACTGCACACGGTCGAGCATACACACACACACACGCAGAGCCGGCTTTTTCTAGCTGTTTGAGCAAAGGGAAGAATAAGAGTGAAAAGTGACATCAGTTTTGATTTGTGACATTAACTTTCAAGCTGATGAAAGGGAGCACCATGTTCTAATTATTATTCCCCTTCAAAATAAGCCACAAGCTCAGACAAAAGCGGAGAGAAAGGGAGGAAAAAAAAAATCCAAGAGAGAAACAGAATCACATTTTCTCACTTATCTAATTAAAGCAAGGTGGGCGAGCGAGAAGGAGAGTTCGCCGTGCTCAGGCAACGATGCTGCCCTGTTTATTCTGGGAAGGTGGGAGATGGAGACAGAGGCTCTGCCAGGTCCGTGGGAATTATCTGTCCCTGCTGGAGGGGAACTTTCTTCCCAGTGCTAATTCACACTCAACTTCAGGACATCCCGGTGCCTGTCAAACCCCGCGTTCTGATTTAGTGGCACAGCGCAGACCTGCCTTGGGAGCATCAGGGGCAGTGCTGCTGTGTCCCACCGCACCGAGGGGAGGTGCTGGCTCCGCTCTATACTCCAGATATTTTACAACTTTATTTAAACTGCCCTTTAGCAACTCACACTGCTTCCTGAGCAGCCTGTAGTGGGGATTAACCCCCCACTGTGGGGGCTGGCTGGCTCGTCCCTGGTATAACCACCATCCGCATTATTCCCCTGTCCCGATGCCACGTTTCGTCTTGGCTCCTGCATAAGGTTAAACGCCCCCAACCTTCTTTAAAAAAGCACTTCCTGAAATCAGAGCTTTGCCACCCACTGCCATATGTCCACTGCTCCCTCTCCTACAAGGTACTGTTTAATGACATTAAGATATCTGCAGCCAAGTGCCTGACATTTGTGACTCCAGGGAAGGGGAGCAGCCGTTTTACCTCCTAGAAAGTGCCTTAGAAATGGATTTCAGCAAGGGAAAAGAGAGAAGTGTCTTCTTTTCTGGATCAGAGGCTGATGAAGTGATCTCAAGCCCTACTCAGCCCCGTGCCACGCTGGAGGTAATAGCGAGTAGCCACGGACCGACTGCTCAAATTGGGTGTTTTTTTCAGAAGAGGAACGCTGTCATTTTTCCATCCCTTGTGCTTCACTTCTCTTTTTCATCCCCAAACAACTGCAGGGTGGCCAGACCTAAACTCTTTGGGCTGTACCTAAAATTGGTGGCCCCGGTGTGGAGGAGGGCTGCTGAGCAGGGGCTGGGAGTCAGCCTGAGACCATGGTTGTCTCCCTGCTGCCATGGCCCCGCAGGCACCCGTGGGGTTCAGCTCCCCATGGGTAGGTACATCCTTACTTTGACAGAGCTCACACCAGGCTGACGTGGTTCTCCGTCAGGAAAGCAGTGTGAATTCTTGCTGCCAGGAGAAATCCTCTGTTTTCCTCCCAAATGAAGCCTGCTTCTTCAGTTTGGGTGGGGAAAGGGAAAGCCCTGGAAGGGGTATCACTGCATCCTCCCCTGCCTGGCTGCCTGTTAGCTGTCTCAGGGCATGTCCCTGCTCTCCCATCTTGCTGTGCTGCTGCCCCATTCCTGTCCCTACTCCCGCTGTGACTTGGCTGTCACACACTGCGGGGACAGGCACGCTGCTGAAAAGGGACGCGAGAACCAAGTAGCTTCTGGAAGACCAAAGGCATCTGCAGGCCAGCAGATGCTGCTGGCACCCAGCGTTTCTCAGGACCAGTTCCACGGACCTCAGGAATATTTATTTGCATCCTGGCCTCAATCCCAGTTGGGATCTTTGGATGCTGCCACTAGATGAATATTTATCACAGCAGATGATTATCTTTTCTTGCTGCGCGACTTTAGTTTGCGTCCTGCTTGTGTGCATTTCTTCTCGAGAGCCCCGTTTTCCTATTACTCTACTTTTCACTGTACTCTTGTGCTGTGTTGTGATATAACCAATTATATATAAAAAGAATAATCTGGGGGTTGACTCCTGGTTTTTCGACTGCAGTTATCTCTCTTGGGGTTTTGTTCTCCTTTAAGCTGTGTTCAGTGACAGACGGCTTCATCTGCTCGGATGTCCTTTGCCCTCTGAGGTTTAATGTATTTATTTAGAAGATGAAACTTCCAGTCAGTATTTGTATAGCACCCTCTGGAGTCTGACTTTCCCCAAATCTAGAACTACATGATTTGTTTCACCAACAAATAAACCCTATTAATTAAGAGATTTTTAGCAAATTAGCTGGTATTATTCAGTCTCTGCCATAGCAGTTGTTGAAATCCACCCTATCTATGGGCTTTTGCTTCACATTCAGAGTGACAGAAAAGACTTGGTTTGGGGTTTTTTTTGCAGTGAAACAACCGCGCTCACGTTTCAATGTTAATTCAGAAAACTCCATGTCTCCAGTGCACAAGGTGTTATATTCAGCCTGAGTTCAGAATGAGCTTTTATTACAAAAAATCCCTCCATACAGTGTTATATAGCAAGAGTTGCCAGCTATTAAGGATTATTTGCAGTCTTCTGGGACCAAAACCAGCCTGGGTCAGGGAGCACTGAGGGCTGTGTTGTCTCTGTCCCCCCTGATCACTGGGCAGGGCTTGTATACAGCATCTGTGATGAGTGTCTGTCCAGGCTGGGTGACAGGGGATGGTTTGGAGGGAAGGAGGTGGAGATGCCAAGCGGCTGAACTCCGGCATGAAGGCTGCAGCGTGTTATTGGTTTTTTCCCCCCTCACAGTATGCTGCGGAGTTGCTGGCAGTGGTGCGCCTCCCCTTCATCCATCCCAGCTATCTGCTAAATGTTGTTGACAACGAGGAGTTGATAAAGTCTTCGGAGGCTTGCCGAGATCTAGTGAACGAAGCCAAACGTTATCACATGCTGCCGCACGCCCGACAAGAGATGCAGACGCCGAGGACCCGGCCCAGACTCTCTGCAGGTAAAGCAAAACGTCCTTCGATGACACCAGCTCCTTGGTCCAGCGGTTCCCAGGCATGGCCAGGACATGCCCTGGGATGGGGCATGGACCTCGGCTGCTTCCCTTGGCTCCTTCTTGGAGCGTGGTGATATTTGAAGCTCAATTTTCTGTTTCTGCTTTGCTCAAGTATTTAGGAGCCTCTCCCAATGGTCAGCCATGGGTCTGGAGATGCGCACTCCTGAAACTAGATTTTAAGAAGCCTAATTTTTAGGAATTACTAGTTTTGGCAGAGTCTTATCACATGCCGCCATTGTCCTAAAAGTGAGTCCCTTGCCTTCTGTTCCTCAGTTTCTCTAGCTGCAAAAATAGTTGAAAAATTTGCTTCTTTTTGCCATTTAGCCTCTTGCAGGGAGCAGCTGGTGAATATTCATAAAACAACTTCACTTTCACAGCCGTGTGTAAATATATTCTTTTCATACCATGAGTCTTGCAGTACTAGTTCAGGCTGTTTGCTGCCTCCAAAACAAATGGATCACACGTCATATATTCCCTTTAAAAAAACCTATCAGCTATGGAGAAGTGTGTTTTTTCAAGAAGCTTCTCACTTGAGGAACACATGCATTTTCCTTTTTAGAAAAATACATTAAAAAAAAACCCCAAGTGCCCGACTTCCCAACAGAGCCCGTATCACGGTAATGTGAGAAATATCCTAAATATTTGCTGAGCAGAGAGTACTGCAGATATCAGGTAGGAAAACTGCATCCAAAAAGGAGTCAGGTGAAACAGGTGAATTGTTTTAACCTTCTGCCTGTACTTCTGCCTCCCTTAAGTACAATCCAAAAGCCAGGCAACACTTTCTGTCCCTGCCACTAATGCTAATGTGGCCCGGAGATGGTGTATCAAACCCCGGCATTTGCAGCTTCTGGAGACTGCCTCATCAAGGCACCTTTCAGAAGGATGAAGTGTAGATGACTTTCAATAACAATCTACCCTAAAAATTCTTTTCAGTGAAGACGACTAATGGCGAGATGTTTGAAGGGATTTTTTGAAAAGTGCTTATTTTATGTATATAAAATTGTAGGTGTAATGCGATCCATTTCCAGAAGCTTGTTGATGAGGGAAAAGTGATTCTCTCGGGGTAAGAGAGGGTGATTATAGTTTTTTTAGGTCAGAGTCTAATTATATAAATCATGTTATTTTGCATATCAACGGCATTCATGCAGGCACAAAGGATCTCTAAACACCCTTTGTGGACTCACTGCAGCATGTCACGTGCCCTCTCGAGGTCATTGATTATAATCAAGTCAGGTCTTGCTCAGGTGATTAGATTTTCTGGTACGGCACAGAAATAACGGTCTCTTGTACTGAGAAATATTTATTTAAAACTATACAGTACTTTAACTTAATAACTTTTAAGAGAGTAACCTTGCTTGAATGACACAAATATATTTTTTTGAAAACGCTAATGAAAAATGACGATAATCCATTACTCTGAAGACACATTTCTCTCCGCTGCAGCTCCTAATCTCTCTTGCTGGCAGTCCCACTTCTGCGCTTCTGACCCCACCGTCTGTGCACACTTGTCTCTAGGCTGGGCACCGTAACACACATCATGGCAACAGATCCAGCCGCGAGCAAAGCTCCCAAAATGGCAATTCCTTCCAGCGCATGGCCTCGTGCTCCTAGTTCAGAGCCTACCTCTCCTGGCAACAAGTTGCACTTGGACTTACAATTGCTGCAGAAAGATTTTTAACACTTCTGCTAAATGCTAAATCCAAACTATCCCCAGCACTTGACTCTTGAGGTTGGAGCCAGAAAACATCCCAGAGTTAAACTGCGACCCGTCACTGCAGGAATTAGTCTGGAGTTGACTCAGAACAGATTTGGCTAGGCTCTGGCTGTGAAGTGGGAATAAAAACTCTGGCATTTGGATTGCAAAAGTTTTGTCCATTTGCACGAACAGAATTTGACTTGCAGTACACCCTGCTGTTCAAGCACAGATAAATCTCAGTTAATAACTGATAATGGGGCTATCTCCATCACATTTATTAGCACCTAGTGTACAAAGACCCTGATCCATGGCTTGAGCACATGTTATCTACATCTGGAAAACCTGTTTTCTCTGGGGGGGATAAAAATCACACCAGAAAATTATATGTTAATAGAATATCTAGAGAGAGAAGATCAGGATGAAGAACCATAACCATAGCCTAAATCTCCTCCTGACATTAGCTTTTAGTGTGAGAGCACCTTCTTCAGGTTAAAGTCCAAACATAATTTACCTGAATAGTGGTCAGGTTCCAAAGCTGTCACAATCCTTGACAAAATTCCTGTTTTCTTCAGTGAAACGGGAATTTGCTACATGCAGGTCTCACTCAAAGACAATTGCAGTCAACAGACATCTTTATAGGGAGCTGCCTTTTTATTTCTTTCCCCTTCAAGTTTTGCCCAGATGGCATGCTCACTCCCAAGTTCTCCAAAGCATGTTCATAGTGTTGTTCCTCACCCACCACTTCCCCCCCTACACACACTCCCTTTTTCCTCACCCTTCCTGGTTTGATTGCACAGCCTGAAACAGATTTGTATACGACACATTAAAATTACCCTGACTGCCGAGTATTTCTTGATAGGCTCCTGCCTGGTTGAGGGAGGACACTTTTTTATAATATTCTTTTTCTTACTTGAATCCTAGGTGTAGCTGAGGTAATAGTCCTAGTTGGGGGTCGTCAGATGATTGGCATGAATCAACGTGCTTTAACAGCGGTCACTTGCTTAAATCCTCAAAACAACAAGTGGTACCCGTTGGCCAGCCTGCCCTTCTACGATCGAGAGTTTTTCAGTGTGGTCAGCGCTGGGGACAACATTTATCTCTCAGGTAAGCAGCAGATTTCATAGAAACACAGAATCACAGAATGGTTAGGGTTGGAAGGGCCCTTTAAAGATCATCTTGTTCCAACCCCCTGCCATGGGCAGGGACACCTCCCACTAGCCCAGGTTGCTCAAAGCCTCATCCAGCCTGGCCTTGAACCCCTCCAGGGATGGGGCACCCACAGCTTCTCTGGGCAACCTGGGACACTGCCTCACCACCCTCAGCATAAAGAATTTATTCCTTATGTCCAATCTAACTCTACCCTCTTTCAGTCTAAAACTGTTACTTCTGGTCCTTTCACTACAGGCACTGGTAAAAAGCCTCTCTCCATGTTTCTCATGAGCCCCCTTTCAGCACTGGAAACTGCTCTAAGGTCTCCCTGGAGCCTTCCCTTCTCCAGGCTGAACAACCCCAACTCTCTCAGCCTGTCCTCATACGGGAGGTGCCCCAGCCCTCTGTTCACCTTCCTGGCCCTCCTCTGGACTCACTCCAACAGGTCCATGTCCTTCTTATGCTGGGGGCCCCAGAGCTGGATGCAGCACTGCAGGGGGGGTCTCACGAGAGAGGAGTGGAGGGGGAGAATCCCCTCCCTTGATCTGCTGGTCACCCTTCTTGTTATGCAGCCCAGGATACCCTGGGCTTTCTAGGCTGCAAGTGCACATTGCCAGCTCAAGACCAATTTTTCATCCACCAGTATTCTCAAGTCCTACTCTGCTGCAGGGCTGCTCTCAATCCCTTCATCCCCCAGATTTACTGGGCTGGGAGAAAGGTTTCTTCCTTACAACACAGGCAGCAGAGACACAGAAAAATATGCAGTTTTACCCCGCTGCTCTTGGGGGAGGGAAAGACAAGTGGAAGGGAGGTTGGGAGAAAGGGATTTCCCTGCTTTTATCATTCTCCATTTCTCTGTGGCATTAACGTTCTCTCAAAGCAGTCAATGGAAATTTTTTGCCGTTACAATGTGAAAAAAATAGGTCTGACAACCATCAAGCATGCAAAGAGGTTTCACTGCCATAGAAACACAATTTAAAATACTGGCTGTAGTTGAGTCTAAGTGGTGGGTTATGGAATTGGAGACAGACAGGCTGCACTGCTGAATATGTGACCTACACTTAGAGCATTTGCTTACAGGAGCATTCACGTTTTGTACTTGTGGAGACCTCTCTTTTGACAGTAGTCACCAGCCCTATAATCTTCTTAGTTTCAATGAAACTGAGACCACGCTCCCTGAAAGGATTTAACTCCCAGAGTAGCTGTCTGCACTGCGCCCATAGCATCACGGTGTCTGGCTTTGTGCAGTCTGGTGGTACTTCTGCTTGGCTGGAGGGGGAAAAGCAATTCCCACCAGACGATGCAAGGATGCTCTGATGGCAGCTGAGTGGAGGTTTGATGATGGAAAGAGCAGCCTGGGCAGAGAGGTGTGGATGTGTGCGATCCGAGGATTTAGTTGGGAGCACGGATGCACCAGGCAGCACCAGTAAGGGGTTACAGCTGTTGCTTTTCCCTTGTTGAGTTCCCTCACTGCATTTTCTGCAGTAAATTGCTGCCTGTGGTGTTAAATTCCATTAATACTGCATAGAGGCCCTAAGGATTGATTGGAAATTATTCCTTGATGGTTTTTTTCCCATGCTCATTTTGCCGCTGGAGCAAAAGCCTTCTATGGAAGCTTTTGTGAGATATTGACTTTTAGTTATTCTTAGCTGAGCTGCTTTCCAAAACGTGGAGCCATATTAGGCTGTGCCATAGCTGCTCACAAAAGCTGTTGAATCCTAAATTCAAAGCTTATTTCAGATCTTTCCCTGGATCTGGCTGAGTGACCTGTGGTATTCAGTGGTTAAAACAGGAGAGCTGAAAGTCCCACATGGCTGGAAACCTAGCTGAGTGTTGGTGGATATTTTGCTTTGATCAAACTTACAAGACACAGGAAAGAGGGAAGGGGAACCAACAGAAGTGGGAAGGAACCCTGCAAGCTCCAAATACTGCACTCCACACTGCAGAGCATAGGTTTGGAGAGCAAAATACCAAAGATGAAGCCTGATTTTCTCATTAAACCACAGAACTCAGTCTAGTGGCTTTTCCTGGCTTGACCACTGGCTTCTACTGTGGTCTCAAATAAATCATTTCACCTCTTTGCTTAAAAATGGGGATACTATGACAGCCCCTAAATGGGTACCTTGGAAGCTTCACTGGAGCGTCTTGAACTATTTTACAGGAGTGGTGCAGCTGGTTCTCTCCTTTATCAGCAAATGAAAATAAATAAGAAAATTGTCCCTGAAAATTAGGCATTAAGCCTACAGTGCAAGCACTGACTTGATTCTGCCCATGTATGTGTTGCTTCAATCCATCACTGTATTAAGCATTTTAGATTTCAGACTGGCCTGTGTCTTGCAAGGCAAGATAGGCTCTGCCTCCTGACATTTTCTTGCAAGTGTTGCAGTAATTTAATAGACTGGAAGTTATTTATGAACACTGAAAAGGGTCTATCCCCTTATGTACATGTCCGTCATATTCTGACATCTTGATTTCTTCATGTCATCTTATTAAAAAAAAAAAAAAAAAACCAGCCTTTGGGGCGCATGAATAAATGACACAGATATGCATCATCGGAACAGATGCTCAGTATTGAGGGTGATTTATTTTAATTAGTCAAATGTCATTTGAAGAGTTTTTACTTTGTAACTGGCTTTGATTGCTGTGTGGTGCAAAGCTGCTGCCTTTCCAGGATCTCACGTAATTCTCCCCTTTTCTTTCCCTCACCCGCATGTCGGTGCCAGGTGGCATGGAGTCAGGTGTCACGCTCGCGGATGTCTGGTGTTACATGTCCTTGCTCGATAACTGGAACCTCGTGTCCCGCATGACAGTCCCAAGGTGTCGACATAACAGTCTGGTGTACGATGGGAAAATTTATACCATTGGAGGGGTCGGTGTGGCAGGCAACGTTGACCATGTGGAAAGGTAAAAAAATAAAAAAAAAAACCCAAACGATGCGGCTTGCTGGAGCTTTTTCTTCATGCTATGCTAAAGGGCCATTTCCCTTTTAAAGGACACATGAAATGGGCTGTATGCATTAAAATAAGCTTTTATAACAGTTAAGAAAGGAGGAAACTATGCAGGATTAGATTTCTTTTTAAAGCTTCAGTGGAAAGCATTGTTTCAAAACCAAAGATGAAAGCTGCCAGCTTGTTTATCAGTTCACTCGGGGGAGGGAAGAGAGGAATTAAGCTTCTTTGGACACTTTACACAGACTATAAAATGAACTAATAAACTTCCTTTGAATTTTGTACTTTAGAAAGTCTTTACAGACCACAGTAATCCTTTTTTTTTTTTTTTTTAACCCCCAAAAAAGCAAGAGCAAAGTAAATTTCTCTCTTGCTGTCTTCTGGTAAAGCACCTTAGCCTTGACCGGGCTGGAAGGAAGATCCTCCCTTTGGTGGTCTTGGCCAGGGACCTGCCAAGCTCCGAGTAGAACAACCAATAAATGGAAACAATTTTGAATTCCTGGACAAGAGGGGCTGAATAGAGATGGGAGAGAATGGAAATTTCTCTTTTCAAGAAGACTCCAGACATAAAAGTTTTCATATTCTCACATGGAACTTAAAAAAAAAAAGGAAGGAACAAAAGCACAAAAGAAACAAAGCAGAATTCCAAAACCAGCAAATTTCATGTCAACCATAACATTCTATAAAACCATAAATTTTATATGCATAGCAACGTTTTCATTAAAATATAGAAACCACTTTGAAATGCAGTATAAGAATATTCCATTCCAAAAAGATCAATGCAGCCCTAGCTTACCCAAACACTTAAAAATGCATTGTGACAATAGATTAATGATGCATTTTTGTGAAATATTTTCCCTTGGTGAATCTGGCAACCAAAAATATGAGGGTTTTTTCTTTTTGTCAGTTTTAATTGCTGAATTTGAATACTTTTTCAGAAACATGTTGAAGCAAGCAGTTCCCAGTAAAAGTTGCCTTAACAGGCAAGCCAAAAAGGGATAGGTCATTAAGAAAGATTTGCAAAAAAAAAAAAAAAGAACATTTTTTAAAAAGTTAGGATTGTAGATGCTTTCAATCTATTATTTCTGGATTTTGGTGTTGCAACATTTATGTTCCATTTATGCAGGCAGTGTTTATTTTTCCATTTAAGTAGATATCATAAATACTGAATACAAAAAACGTGTTTTAAAAGTTCATTAATGTTTCAAAGTCAAGCACACAGGACATTAGGAAATGCCAAAAATAATGCTTCCTTCTGCAGATCTACTTTTTGTTACAATCTTTAATTGTGTGATCACTTTTTTTCCCAATTTCTGCCTAGTTCAGTGCATGGGACAGACCAGTCTAGGGAATGTATCCTATCTGGTGCTGAGTGCTCACCATTCACACATAATTTTGTGTTCCTCAGTGTTCCCATATTTGGCGCTATTTTGCCTAGGAGACAAGGGTGATGGGACAAAAGAAAAGGACAGGTACTGAGGGACAAGGTCTGCAGGTAGCCTTCCCTCCCAGCCCAGGCACAGGCTGAAGAACTGACACTGGTGGTGATGCTCTTGGCACATCAGGGAAATGCAGGCAGCGAAGGAAGGACCATAATTCATAGCAGTGAATGCAATGTGAGCATTGCTGCCCTCCTTAACCCTGAGCTTAAGGCGGGCACTGCCCTTGGGACTTGCTTTGAAGGAAATCTCACTGGTTTATGCAGATTTATTTCTCATTTCTGAAGGTATTTGTCCTGTAATCTAAGTCAGTAAGTTTTTAACTAACAGAGATGTTTTTGTGAATGTTGGAGGGAACGAGTCCAGGAAAGAGATGCAGTCTTTTGTTCCATGTCTCGATAGAGAGGTGCATCGAAATAAGGCTGTTGTGGATAGGTGTCTTGGTAGATGTCATTGATTGAGTTATCTCTTTTAATTTTTCCTGGAGTCTCATTTCTTTCTCTGCTCTGATTCTCATGGTCTCTCTTTAACAAAGCATCCAAAACATCGGTCAGCTGAATGAGCCCCAAATCAAGCAAAGTCTCCCCCTCTCCTTCCTTCTCCTCTCAGTCACCAAGCCCTTGCCACAAATGACATTGCGTTCTGCAAAGTCACGCTCAAGCCCTCGGCGTGCCCTGCGTGGTTCAGTGAGAGCAGCCGTGCTGGTTTTCAGTTGTAACGAGCCCACCAAGAGACTTTTATGTGGGAAAGGAGCTGATTTCCTCCCTATCATTTCAGTGCACGCTGTCTCAACCGCAATAAGGATGTCTCGTCATGGGGATTTGCTAAACCCGTGGTTATAATTAATCTGCTATTGTCTATAGAGTGACTTGTGAGATGCAGCCATGGAAAAAGTGCAACATGGCCCCTTGGGTTATGCCAAGAAATGAGAGAGGTTTGGAGATGTTTCCTTTTTTATTCTTTGCATTAAAATGACAGTGAGGATGTCAGAAGCAAAGCATGGCGTGGCTGAAGCTGTGCGTTTTGAAAAGGATGTTTCAGGGTCTGCTGTTAGAAATGAAGGTGAGAAAAAGCTGACCCTCATAGCTGTCAGAGCAAAGTCAGGCCTTTTCAGACAAAAGCACTCTTCCCATTTGGACCAGGCAGCTAATTTGTGCAAGCCTTCAGGAGCTTAAATCACTGTACCCACTTTTGCAAGCAGTGAGGCTCTCTGAATTGCAACTTTAAAAGAAAACACATTAGAATACAAAGTAAAGCCATTTTAATTGCTCAGTTGTCTGCCATCATAAGCGCAGTTAAAGCTCACTTCTGGACTTTGCCCTCTCTTTCTTCCCCCTGCCCTGCCCAAGAACTACAAGCGACCAGTCTTCTCCCACCATATTTCTGTCTGGGCTGCACATTCCTCTGCAAATATTGCATTGCTTTGGATAGGACACTGAGATGCCATCTCTCAGGAGGATGGAAACCTCTCTGTCATTCCAGCAGGTCTTACAAAAGGACTACATTAAAATAATAAGGTGACATGATCATATGCTCCGAGTCAGGTAGATGCCAAAAAATTACTCATTGTTCAATTTCAGGGTCATGCGGTCTTGAGTTTTGGTTTGGTTTTCACCCCCAAGGAGGCATCTGAGATTCTAGCCCTGTTACATACACAGATGGAGGTATGGGGGCTCATCCAGGCCTGACGCACAATGTGCTCCTGGGCTGTGCCACTAGCATGAAGGACAGTTCACTGGACACCCTCCCTCACTGGGTCACCTTCCACCTTCCCTCGTGCACATGCAGCTTATCTTTCCCAAACCCTTTTTACTTTCTGCTTGCTCAGTTAGCTCAGGCGTGACCATGCCCAGCTTTGGACAGGTTTCAGTGCATGGCATGGTGGAGGACACATCTCCAATCCAATCCCTGACCTCACCAGTTAGCAGCCCCAGAGGATGAAGACTGCAAGGTGTCACCCCACAGGGTCTTTGAAGATGGAGAAAATAACATTTTTCTCCCAGTTTCCTTCTTGTTCTCCACGTGTTGGTTTTTTTTCCTGGAATTCTTGGAATATTTCATCCTAAATGGTTAAAATCTTACAAAGATGTTTTCATTGCATTGTGCTTTTTGAAAACAGATGTCAGACCACCCTAGCTATATGTGCTAGCATCTGACTGCACCTAATACATCTGCTGCACCATTACAAAGTGTTAAAGCAAGTAGGGACCACCGGACTCCTAGTGATTTATGGCAACAGCTCCTGCACTCCTTTCTCCTTGCTTTCAGTCGTGTCATTGATGCTGAAGGGTGCAGCCTCAACCAGAAATTCTGATGTTACTTAAATCAGTGGGTGTTTTCCCATCAACTTCAATAGGGCTGAGATTTTTTACCCTTTATCTGCTATTTGTCTGTAAAGAGGCAGTAAAAATTCCGGCTTGATGGATAATATTACAGGACTATCACAAACAAACGAGTAGGAGTCATTCGTTACTCATCTTAAAACCATATGCATGTGCCAGAGGGCCTGAGTTATAAGTCCATTTTTGTGGCTGTACATGGGTATATGTTCAAGGAGAGTTATGGTTTGGGAATGAGTGTTTAGGGAAATAACGGTGCGGCTGCGGTTCTCCATCAAGCCCTTCTGGCAAGTTTCTTTGTGACAGGGAGCGAGTCATTAGGTGTTAGGCGAGAGGGTATTACACTTTCTGTCTTCTTCTGAGATATGAATTGAGTTGGGAGGCGGCGAAATGAAGTGGATCCATGAAGTAGGTTTTTAGATAATGGATGGGCCCTGTAATATATGCAATTTGAGAGCCCAGAAGACTGCGTATGCTGACAAGACAATGTATGTGACTAAAAGTGAGGAAATGTGGGTGCTTTGTGGTTATTATCTGTTTGAAGGACAGAAGAAGATGAATCCCCTTGACCTGACAGCACTTTTACAATAAGGTTGTCTAAAATTGGGAGATTACTTCAGCTGGCGGTGTGTACTTGGAAGACAGTCTAAAAAATTTAGTGTAAAGAATAAGCTTTATGAGCTTTAGAAACTGCTTCAGAACCTACTGTGTTATTGACATCTTAAGCAAATTAAATATATAGCTTTGTCCAAGGATAGTTTCTTAAGCTCCTCAGAACAGTCAGAAGAAAATAAAAAAAGGCAAAAAATAGTAATCCATTAATGTGATTTTAAACAACACGTGAAGATCAGATCAATATGACACTGTACAGCTTTTCTTTAAATAGCAGCTTTCCAAACAGAATTAAATAATGTATAAGAAACTGGAGGGTGCATGTCTGAAAGCGACTGACCATGATGTCATTTATAATGTGAATAAATTAAGGCTGTTTAACCTAGAGCAAGAAGAATTAAGAGACTAAGGAGAAAAAAAAAAAAACCTGTTTTCAGGTACTGAAGAGATCAAAAGTCAAGAAGGCAGAGAAGCAAACGGCACAGCTTGAAATGAAGGGGTTTCTGCTGTTAAATCTGAGGTGGTAGAGAACGAGCAAGAAAGGAGGCGTTGAGTTAAATGAGTGAAACAGGAGGAGGACCAGGTCCAAATCCTAAGAGTGGAGAGTTGAGAAAACTTGTGAGGTTATTTCTGCATGTGCTCTCTTCAAGCCTGGCCTGGATTTCCTGCTGGGTTCAGATCTTTTCCTGTATCATGGGTGTATGGGGTATGTAAATGCTACATAAACCAAAGGATAGCGACTGCACAAGGGTCAGGTGAGACAGTGGTGCTCAGTGCACACGTCGTGACAGGCGGGGACTCGCACATTCTACACGCATGGAAACCCTCATGTTGCGAGCACAGCAAGGCCATGGACCGCGGGGTTGCAGGGACTGCTCTGGGGGCAGAGGAAGGCATGCAAGCGTGTTGTGTAAAACCACACATCAGTCCACAGCCTGCAAGGACTGCAAAACCAGGAGTCAGTCATGGGAAGGGAGATGTCCTTGAAGTTTCACATTCAGCAAATTGGATGGGCTTGGTAGGCCCATGGCCAAGGACAAGCGTGGACACACCCGGCCTGGAGGGAGCAGTGGAGGAGAGGGAAGAAAAACCTTTGCTTGGCTTGAAGCCAGCTCCCATTAAGTCTTCATCTATGGCTTCAAGCAGGGGAATCAAATGCAAAGCTTGACTAATGGAAAGAGATCAACATGATTATTCTTTAAGTCAGTTCCCTCCCTGCCAGCCCCAGAGCAGAGTCGGTGTGAAAGGCGGCCGAGGAGCCCCACCAGCACTAGCACTGGTGGAGTGATGGCAACGCCGGAGATGATGCCACAGGTGGAGGGGCCCCAGGGCAGAGAGGTGAAGCAGGTGTCATTATTTCCTGTCCTGGAAGGTTACGAAGGTTCAACTTTATTCATTTTTAAACCAATTTAGTTAATCTGGTGCAAATCTCTGTGTGAACACGTTAAGAGCTGATTTGAGATAGATCAAAATGATGGAAACCTGCCTTGCAGAGACTTAAGGAGCTTAGACTACTTAGTTTATCCCGCTGAAGGTGAAGAGGTGACTTTATTATTTTCTGCAAGTCCGTATGTGAAAGAGAAAGATTTGACAGCAGACAGCTTTATAATCCAACATAAAAAAACCCACTTTACTTTCTGGTGGGTGGGAGCTGAAGCAAAACAGACTAGAAATTAAGTCTGCGGTTTTGCAAGGAGGGAGTGAACCAGAGGAATAAATTCCTGGGGGATGGAGGGAGGCCTTGAAGGCATCTGCTTCTTTTCTTTGGCTCCAGGGGTAAGTTAGACACTTCTGCTTCAGAGGATTGCTTCACTGAGCAGCCTATGTGAAACCCACGTTAAGTGCCTCTGTTAGGCGGACAAGGACCGGCTTCTACTTGCCTTATGGTTCAAATTTTTGAAACCAGATGATCCTCAAGTCAGGAACATTTTTTTAAGCTGCCCCACTTGCACCAATATCCAGTAGATCTGCAGTCCATTTTTTGTTTCCCAGTGGCAGATGAAGGAGGGTAGATGCAAGAAAGGTCGGGTCTGTCATCACAGAGCATAAACACAGAGCAGTGAAAGTGGGTGACAAATGGGGTCTAGGAGACCTGAGGTCCCAACAGTAAAATCCATCCAGAAGAAGGACAATTGCTTTTGTGATTTGAACCTTTCTCCAGTATTCCTGTAGACATGGTCCCCAGCCCCCAGCATATGTGAAGGTTGTAACCCCTTCATTCAAAAAATGTATGAGGAGGATCAGAAAGGCATGGGCAGGAGCGTATCAGTTGTGGGAACTCTGGTCAGCTGGGTGCTTCTGCCACCTCCGGGGAAGGCAGCATGGCTGCTCACCATCCTGTCTCAGGCCACTTCCACTGGCCACAGACGTTCCTGGTGCTAGGTGACAGTGGGTGGTGTGAGACAAGAAGCATCAGGTGACAGGTATCATTTATATCTTACAGGCTGAGAAACTAGAAAGGAACATTAGGTCAGTTTTTCTCAGCTCTGTGTCTTTGCACAGTTTCTAGACAGTTACAACCAATTCCTTAAACAGCTTTTATTATACAATAAGACATCAACAATTAAATTACCAAGCCCCAGATTACTTCAGTTAGCAAAGTGTAACCCAAAAGCAGTGTATGAAACCTATCTGCTGGGATGGGCATGAGTGGTGTGGGCAGAGGCAGGAGCTGCAGCATATTGTGTCTTACCTGGAGGAGTTAGTTGTGCAGTCAAACATGCAGCTGCAGGCTCGGGTTTGGTACCAAGCATTAAGAATCAGCCCAATATAGGTATGTCACCTTGAATGCTCCCAGCACCATGTTGTTTAATCTCGTTATTTCTCCCCTTTGATCACTTTGTTGTAGATTAATTTAATTTCTCAGTAACTAATTTAGAGCATCGTACAAGGCAGTTCTCCATGCTCATTATAAAGGACTGTCCTCATCTTTTTTAGTTAAAGTTTGCCTCCCTCTTGCTTTTGCTCCATTTTTATGAGTGTGTTAATTACTTTCAGTTATATTACTTGGAAACTCATTAATGCATTTTCATTAAGCACATTATTTTGTGTTGTTTCCACCATTTATATCTTTTGTCCCTTTTATTTTCCCCAAGTTTGGGCAGTGAGAATTTGAGGGACATGTTGCAAAAGGAGAATTCCCCTGTTGCTAAATCTTTTTTACAGCTGGGTTCATGGCCATGGATTCATTTCATGTTTGCATATTGCATATCACTAATATTAAGAGCAAAAGCCCAGAATTGGTGATGAGTGCTTCTGTTCTTGCAGTCAACAATTCTGAATAATTGCTACACAGGAAACTCCTATTTGACTGAATGTGCCATTACATGGAATTATAGAAGCCTGAAAAAAAAAATCACATTATTTTCCACTGTCTCCAAGCCTCATTTTATAGCAGCTATTTGGATCCCTGCCACATTGTCTTTAAAAAAAAATGATGTCTGTACTTGTGACATTGTCTAAAATGAATCTTCACCCATGGATTATTAACTGCACATCCCTTATGGTCAATGGCTTAATTAAATCAGATACTGATGACCTTAAAACTAATTTAGCACTTTCATGCATACTCTTTTCTGTTTGCTTCATGTCAAATATAGATGCAATGGTGAAATCTTATTCTAACATTAACATTTGCAGCATCCTGCAATGAAACACAGTAGTTTGGTTTGCACAATGAAAATTAAATGGAAGCAACTTTTTCTGGCGCAAAATGTGCATCGATGGTCAGTTAACTAGAGTAAAAAGAGCTATCGTGTTGCATTATGTTGCAGGTGAGATGTGTTCCACAAGCTAAACAACTGAAGTATATTAACAGTTGCCTGCCCTGCGGTTGCTGTTGGATATCACTGCCCTGATTTGCAAGAATAATCTCATTGTATACTCATTAATAGAAATTAATTAGTGGAAGACATTTCAACAAAGATGTCCAGAGCTTCTTTAGCTTGGGCTGTAATGAGATTTGAAAGGCATATACAGAAAATAAAACCAGCTTTCTCTGGGCTTTTCTCAGTGGTTTAAAAGCTTAGAAAAGGCATTAATTACACTGTTTATCAAGCGGCTGAATTTGTAGGATGTTAGAAAATACGTTTCCACCTCTGCTTTTCTTTTGCTTGTCAAGCTGCCTTTCTCTTATATCCCACCCTGCTTTCTCTGCCTGTCTGTCCTGCCTTTACTGTTCACCCAGCGTTGCGTCAGCTCACTGCGGTTGCTGTTGTCCTAGGTACGATACGATAACCAACCAATGGGAGACCATTGCTCCTCTGCCAAAGGCTGTCCATTCGGCCGCTGCGACCGTCTGCGGTGGTAAGATCTACGTCTTCGGTGGGGTGAACGAAGCCGGCCGAGCTGCGGGGGTCTTGCAGTCCTACATCCCTCAGACTAATTCGTGGAGTTTTATCGAGTCTCCGATGATCGGTAAGAGATGCGTGGTGGCAGTGTAAACCTGTATTATGATAGAAATCTCTGTGTGGCAGGTATTTCAATGCCTTTGTGGAAAGCAAATGA